CTCAGGGTCCTGGAATCGAATCCCACGCTGGGCTCCCTGCTCAGCAGGGAGTCTGCTTCTCCTTCTCACTCTCCCTCTGTGCTCTCTCTGTCTCTCTCTGTCTCTCTCAAATAAATAAATAAAAATCTAAAAAATAAAATAAAATAAAAAAATAAAAACATCCCAAATGTCCCTCAATCCCCAAGATAAGATAGGTGACCAAGCAAGGTATGGAACGGTGACTGTAGTAGGTGATCATCGTGCAAAGGAAAAAAATGTATGCACATAGGATTGTCTCTGGAAGTATTCACAACAAACTAGTAACAGGGATTGCCTGAGAACAGGCAGGAGACAGAGGGCAGTGGGTGAAAATGAGACTTACCTTGTTCCTGTGTATACTCTTTTAAATGTTTATCTTTGGCATGAATAAGCCATGTGCTTGATACACATGAATACCCAAGGTGTACAACAATTGGAATTGGTCAGTGAATGGGAACAAATTCAGAAGTAGCTCCATGGATTACAAGTTTTCCAATAGAATCTTCCAAGTGTCCTTGAGGTGTTCATTCGTTACAGCAGGTGGCAGTATTATACACGAACAGAGCTGGGAACGCAGTGCCTTGGGACTTCTGGCCGGAAAGAGAATGGTTTGTTCATGTTTGAAATATGCTCAGATTTATCACTTCATTTCTAGAATTTTATACTGCAAGGGACCTTGACAGTTATTTAGTCCAATATCTTTGCTTTATTCTCAAACACTGAGCCCAAGAAGCTGTCTAGCAGATCCTACGCAGCACAGCCAGGCAGAACCCACAACTCCTGATTGTTTGGCCGTAAGGGCATGGTGAGACTGATGTGGATCATCAGTTTATGATTCTTGTTTTGTTTTGGTTTTTTTAAGGGTCATTAACCAGTGGTTGTACTTTTTTTTTTTTATTAACACATAATGTATTATTTGTTTCAGGGGTACAGGTCTATGATTCACCAGTCTTACATGATTTTTGTTTTAAATTCCAGTTTTCATCAGTCTGACTCTGCCCTTAAAAAATAAAAAGAGAGTCAAATAATTCTCATTTAGAGTTGCAGAAAACACTACGCTAGTTTATACAAGCACACAATTTTTGTGACCTAAGTCTTTCCCTCTAGCCTTTTCAAAAATGTAAGTCCTTTTCTGTTTCTCTCTTTAAAACAAGTCAGTGTCATATTTGCTTAGTTGTCATAATATTAGTTGTTGTGTTGGTCAGTCTCGAGTGATTGGTTTTCCTCTTGCGCAAAATCTTAGTCTTACGGATTATCCTTGTCTATGTGTGTTTTCCCCTCCCTTCTTTAGTTGTTGAGAAAATACTTTCCCTCCTTTCCTCAGTGTATGGTGATTCTTGTTTTTCTCATTGGGCAAAGGAAAAAATTAGAGTCCACTGCACAGTTCCAATTCTTTAATAACAACTGTGTTTATTTGCCTATGGTAAGGCGCTCCAGAGGAGCATCTTCTCCTTATACATTATTTTCTTCTCCGGTGGTAATGCTACTTCGCTCTGGAATGGGGGTCGGCACCTACATCACCAGCTCCATCAACCCCAACTTCTACCCAATAATGTGAACAAACAGAAAATGGTGGAGGATGAGTGAAGGTCACTGCCTCCACCTGCTGAGACAAAGCTCCTTCCCTCCCTGGTCCCCCCTAGTCCAGTCAGAGGAGGAAGATCAGGACAGGGAGAGAAATAGGCTACAGAACAAGGGTGACCACCATGTGACACAAGGTCAAGAGGTTCACCCAGGGAGTCATGGTGCCCGTTTGGCCCTATATTTCTTGGAACTGCTTCAGTCTAACACTTACCTTCCAAACTCTCTGACATTCTGTGCAATTTGAGAAACATTTAACTGGGTTAGGTCTGAAGTCACGAGGCACGTCTATTCTGTCAATCCAAGAGTCAGGACACCCGAATGTTAGCTCCTGTTCTCACATCTATTGCATACGTTATGAGGGGCACGTGGACCCAGCTATATCAGTCACCTGGGTGGCAACGAGAATTCTCTAACTCCTAATGTTCACAATGTAGGCTTGGACCACATCAGTGTTTTCAAACCCACACAATCATAAGAATCCCTTGGAGCCCCTCTTGAAAAAAAAAGATTCTGAGATCTCACCCCTGGAGACCTTTACTCAGAAAATTTGGAGTGGGTCCCAAATTCTGTGTTTTTCACAAGAAATCCTCAGTGGTTATTATTATTGAGAAAGTGTCAGAATGTTTCCAGAAATTCTCCAGACCCTTAAATGCTACGATAACTTCCACTTGCGATTTTTCTTTTGTCTTTTGTATTCTTCTATTTGACATTGTCCTTCCTCTACCCTCACAGGTTTTACACATACCCAGGCTTATTTCCCAACTCCAGCTAACAATTGCTGGTGGACAAAGGGCTTCTGTTCTTTCATACTGTGCCCCACCAGATAGTTCCCATTCGCCCCTACACATCCACTCTCCACCCTTCTCCACCTGATCCCTGTTGTTGGAAGTGAACTTTAGAGCACATCAGTGGTCTCCTTTGTCTTCCGACTTCCAACTGGGTTTATCCAATGGGAGGCATCAAGAGAGGAGAGGATGGGAGAAGAATAACACTGGGTTATTGATAAGCCTCACCCCCAGCCCCTCTTGATTACTCACAGGATCACTGTGGGGTGGCTGTGTCCTTCCACAGCCCTCGTGGGGGCCTTTCTTATAGAGAAGACCTACTGGGATTCCGTCAGGTGTAAGGCTGGAAACATTGTAGCCCCAACACTGTTGCTAGCCCCAAGTTACTGTCCTACCTTTTATAGATATGCCTTAACCTTTCTCAAGCCTTTTTTACCTTATTCTTTTTTTTTTTTTTTAAGTAAGCACTACACCCAATGTGGGGCTTGAACCTAAGACCCCGAGGTCAAGGGTCTCATGTTCTAACGACTGAGCCAGCAAGGCACCCCCACCCCAAGCCTTTTTAAATAGTCCCTTTGTTTAAACTTCCTCAGTTACTCTGAATATATCATCTCAGCTGCCAACACTTTGGTTGGAAGCATGATTTACTTTCTCTCTTTCCTATCTGCTATTTATATAAGAAGGGCTTTCTTGTTTCTTATTAGAAATAATAGAAATGGGAGATGTAGAATTAGAAATGGAAAGAATAGAATTCTAGGATTTGAATGGCTTTCAATTTATCTGTTGCAGCTTACTGCCAAACGCCAGAATACTTCATAAAATAGATCTGCTTCATCCGGTTCATTACAACTTCTCAAATATTTGCTGGCAATTATCATTTTTCCCCTCTAGGCTAAATATTATCAATTCCTTCGACAATTCTTCATGTAGCATGGTTTCTAGATCCTTCTCCAGCCTGGCCATTGAGTATGGTCCTCTGGGTGTGTTCTTAAAAAGTCTAGAGAAACATTTGCAAAGTAAACCAAATGTGGACCAGAGTCACACCTAACTGGAAAAGAACCCAGACCTCCGTAACTGAGAGGCATATGGGAATGAACGAGTGCAGCCCAAGGCTCTGGCTATCAAATGGAGCCGCTAGATGGAAAACAGGTCCATGGGTGGAGTCCCTGCTAAGGGGGAAGCACACATCCCCACTAACATCTGGCATGTCACGGTTCCACTCTTGAATTTATGCTTTACTTTTTCTTCTGTACTTTTTTGTTTCTACTAAGGGGGGAACAGAAATGGAATTCTAGTCAGGCCAAGAATTAAAATTAAAAAAAAAAATAGGAGTGCTTTAAATTCCCATGGTCTGGAAATCCACAGTCTCCTTACCCCCTACCAATCCAGACGCCTTCCTTGGGCTTCTAGTCTTCTGGCCAGAGGTCAGTAGGTCATTTGTGCAAAATGGTACAGAGCCTGTGGCACAAGACATTTTCTAGAGTGCTGAGCTCCTTGAATTCTCATTCTTAGACTCTGCAGGCCTCAATGTCATGGAATTATCACTGCCATGAACCTTACATTACCTGATTCAGGCAACCTAGAGGATCCAAAGTGAGAAATCTTTGTCCTAAATTGCAGAGTAATTTACTGGTCGAGCCAGGATTAGAACCCAGATCTCTTGCCTCTCTATAATCCCAGCTCTCTCTTCAGTTAATTTACTCCATTCTTTTACCACAGATTACAAAACTGAAATGAAGAAATTAATACAGCTAGTACCCAAAGCATCCAAGTCAGACAGAGGCAGCCTTTGCACAATTGCCTTGAAAGTACTGGGGAAAGATAGCTATGTACACATTACATTTGACACAACCTCAGGGGTGAAGCAACCCATCATTTTATTTAGAGGTCTCAACTACCTGTCTTTGCATATGGGTCTAAACTTTATAGAACTAAGTCTTGTCAATTAGCTGAGCCAAGGCACTAAAAGGAAGGCTCACATTATCAGACTCCTGAGTTTAAATCTCCAGTCTTCCATCAACATAAGGCTGTCCAATTTGTACAAGCTGCATAGGACCTCAGGGACAATCCAGTTCAATAAAATTTAGACCAAGAACATGCACAACTTACTAACTTACAAAGCAGAATCAGGCTTGACTCTTATTCCTATGCTCTTTCACATGCACTGTGCTTGTTTCCTGGAGGACTGTGCCTTCTTTGTTTAACTGGCTCTCAGAACAGGGCATCAGATATTTGCATATAGCATTTAACACAACTGCATCATTAGATTCAAGATAAGTATCTCCTTTATTAAATGAGAAAGGGAAGGGAGTGACATAAATGTTATCTTAAAAAGCTACTACTGATTACAGGGAATGTCTACTACAAATAGATTTGAAGGACTTAACAAATAAACAAAATTCAGAGAACTATCAATGAATTCTAACCAGCTGATAGGAAAAGGTAGTAAAGTTTGAAATGCCCTAACAAAAGTCAATTTGCATCTACTATTCCAAGCTGAACTATATGGCAAGAGAGAGTCTGACACTAAGAGAACTCTTCGTAGCAATTTAGGGGAAATGACTGTGTAAGCTGAAGAAACCACTTCCGAACCATGCTGAATTTCAAGACTCTGGCAGATCAATAGGGCAAAAGTAATCAAAACTCCAGCAGATGCTGTTGATGGCAGAACCTCTGGTGCATCAGATGATCCCAAATTGAGCAAGCTCATGCAATTCCAGGTGGCTGAATGCCTCCCAGGGACAAATCACTGTGATATCTGCAAGAGAGGGAAGAAGAACTTGTAAGCCAACCTCTCCCCCTGCCCCTCAGAGCCTCAAGAAGGCACCTCTCTCCTCTCTCCTATTCATCGTCTCAGTAACCAGGAAGTTATCTGCAATGGCCCTGCCGCCCAGGAAGGATTCAACTGATTGCTTCATTAATCCCTTGCAGGGTTCTGATGCTCCCAGAACAGGCCCCCTAGGTAAGCATCTTCATTGGTTTCATTCTGTACCTCTTTGGAGAGGTGACCCAAGGCTTTTGACTGGAGCTAGCCTTGGGTAGGGGGTGCAGGTCACTGATCAAACTGGGTCTCCTCAAAACACAACCACTATGGAAGGAACACAAGTGGAATTCTAGTCAGGCCAAGGCTTAAAATGAGAAATAGAAGCATTTTAAATTCCCATGATCTGGAAATCCACTGCCTTCTTATTTCCTACCCATTCAGATGCATTCTTCTCTGACTCACTTTTTAGTTCCTTTACATTTTGAAATGTCTACTATATCCAGTCACATACTGAGAAGTAATCTCAAGGCATCTGCTAATCCAATTTTTTGCTTCAGGCAATAAAATATTATTATCCCTGAATTACAGAGAAGCTGACTGGAACACAAAGAGATTAAATACCTACAGAAAAATCAGAGTTATAGAGATGGGACTAAAACCAAGTCAAAGATCTCAGATCTCCCCTCAGTATAAAGCTCTTTCCAGTATTCCAAATATGTTGGCAGAGTTAAGCATATACTCCAGAACCCAAAGCAAATCTGCTGGTCTTATGTACATCTGGCCAAAATACAAAAGCAGTTGATTTAGGGGAATAGCAAATGACCTTTATAAAATAGCTGAAAAATGTATTTGAGATCTCAGGAGTGGCATTTAACTGTTAAAAGCAAATACAATGAGAATTGCCTGGTAAAGACACTGATTACTGATCACACCATTTATCAAAAGTGTACTGGATAAGTTGAAAACATGTCCACTCAACAACCTGCACAATGGGGCGCCTGGGTGGCTCAGTCTGTTAAGCGTCTGCCTTCGGCTCAGGTCATGATCCCGGGATCCTGGGATGGAGTCCCCTATCGGGGTCCCTGCTTATCGGGGAGCCTGCTTCTCCCTCTCCCCACCCCCTCTCATGCTCTCTCCCTTGCTATTTCTCTCTCTCTCAAATAAATAAATAAAAATCTTTAAAAAAAACACAACCCTGCACAATGGTGTTTATAGCAGTATTATTCATAATTGTGAAAATTTGGAAGCAACAAAATATCTTTTAATAGGGTAAGCAAATTGTGATACAGCCATAGAATGAAATATTATTCTGTGGTAAAAAAAAAAAAATGAACTATCAAGCCATATAGGACATGGAGGAACCTTAAATGAATAAATATTGCTAAGTGAAAGAAGCTATATACTGTATGATTCTAACTATATGACAATCTGGAAAAGGCAAAACTTTTTGAGAGTAAAAAGATTTGTGGTTGTCATGAGTTTGTGGAGGGTGGGAGAAGGGATGAACATGTGGAGCCCATGGGATTTTTAGGGTATCTGTTCTGTGTATACCTGTAATGATGGATACACAACATTGTGCCTTTGTCAAAACCTGGACAACACGAAGAGGGAATCCTAATATAAGCTATGAATGCTAGTTAATAATAATGTTACTAATACTGGTACATCATTCGTAACAAATGTACCACACTAATGCAAGATGCTAATAATAGGGGAAACTATGTACAGGCATATGGAGGAGCTCCATACTTTCTGCTTAAGTTTTCTGTAAACCTAAAACAGCTCTAAAAAATAAGGTTCAGTGTTTTTATTTTTTTTTAATTTTTTTTAAGATTTCATTTATTTATTTGAAAGAGAGAGAGAGAGCACATGAGAGGGGGGAGGGTCAGAGGGAGAAGCAGACTCCCTACTGAGCAGGGAGCCCGATGTGGGACTCCATCCCGGGACTCCAGGATCATGACCTGAGAGGAAGGCAGTCGCCTAACCAACTGAGCCACCCAGGTGCCCCGAAGTTCAGTGTTTTTAAAAGGAAGATCCAGTTGTTTTCATTCATTATCCAACAAATCAAATTATACTAGCTGACTAAAAAATATTGTATTGGATACATTCAGTGTGTAGGCCCTGTTCTGAGTGCCAGAGGATATGTAAAAAGAAGAAGTTGGTTAAGGAGTGGTTTGTCTGGTAGAGTGAAAAAGTTCTCCAGGCCCCTCCCTTGTTTCCAGTATCTCACTGTGTGGCCTCAGATTGTCACTTCATTCCTCTCTGTCTCAGATTTCTCTTCTGAAGAAATGATGAAGTTGGGATAAATGAACCCTGAGAATCTTTCTACCATGAAAGTCTACAACTCACCATTAGATGTCCTCAAGTGTTGTTTAACAGAACAAGAGGATTTAGTATCTTTGGACCTTAGCTTGATCTCTGTTAGAGTTTTTGCCTCTGAGCACATGTGTACTTACTTAGGAGATTAAACTAAGCCCCACACTTCTATGTCTTCAAGGATCTGCTGCCTTAGCTATTTCTTGTAATTTTTCATGGCCCTTTGAGGCCTAAAGTATGGATAGTGGTGAAATTCCAAGTGAAAGTCCATGGCCTTGGGTGGCTCACCTGTTCCTAGCCCCTCCATGCCTGGAATGTCATCTCCAAACCTATGGGGAAAAAAAGAAAAATTAGCTGACATCAGAGTGAAAGGATCTCATATCGAGAGCTTCCTGACTAAGGGGGAAAGAAGAGGTTTAAGTTTTTGTCTTTGAGAAATATCTTTTATTTGCATTGACCTGGGGAAAAGATAAAGTCACTCAGGCTGGTTTCAGACAGTGTGTCCCTGTGGAGAGATTTTCCCCTCCTAAAAATTTAGCCTAAGACAGCTGAGAGCCAAATAGAACTATCCCTGGGGCAACTTAGTCAAGCTCCACTTTTAAAAATAGAAATTGGAATGAGGGGCGCCCAGGTGACTCAGTCAGTTGGGTGTCTGCCTTCGGCTCAGGTCATGATCCCAGGGTCCTGGGATCCAGCCTCACATCAAGCTCCCTGCTCAGCGGGGAGTCCGCTTCTCCCTCTCTCTCCGCTGCTCCCCCTGTTTGTGCTCTCTTGCGCTGTCAAATAAATAAATGAATAAAATCTTAAAAAAAAAAAAAAGAAATTGGAACAAAAACACAGTACGAAAGACATTTAAATGATTAATTCATCCATTTGGTTAGCTACCCAAAAGCATTTATCAAGCATTTACTATGTGCCAGGCATTGTATTAAGCATAGGGAATTGAGGAAAAAACTAATTTTCTCTGAGGAACTTCAATCTCAGAGAACAGATGTAAATAAACAAATGTAATGTAAAACAATACAAATTATGACAGCTGAATGTACGAAATGCAAACATGGAAGCCATGATCACATTTGTCTAAGAGAGTCAGTCTCGGCTTCAAAAGAGAAATTAACATATGAGAGTATGTTAAATAAGTAGGATTTTGCCAAGAAGAGAAAGAGAAAAATAAAGAACTGAAGACTTAACATTTGAAACCATAAAAATAAACTCTGTATTCTGGAAATGGAAAGTGTTTTAGTACTCCAAATTAAACCACAAGGTGTACCAGTGAAGAGGAGTGGTCAAGAAAATTCTGGAAGGTCAAGTCAAAGGTTGCTGTGACAGGTTCCATTTGCCATGTTAAATGTGACCACAAACCTGGGAGGTGAGAGAGAAAGCCTTCCAGGGCTAACAATGTGATTCAGCAAAGATTGTGGTAGAGAGGAAAATAGAGGATGGGGTGGAAATCTTTGTAAGTCTATTTAATATTGGGAGCATTAATTTCTAAAAAAAATAGAAAGTCTTCTTTTTCATTTTGGTCTTACCCTTTCACACCTTTCTTAGGAGGCTTGCTCTTGAATTGGCGAGTCTGTCTCTGCTTGAACTTGGGGGGCCCCTTGCGTGGGGTAGTGGGACCCTGGTTTGAAGCTGGAGGAACCAAAGTAGCATTGTCACTCATTCTGATGTCCGTGGGTGTCTGATGGTTCTCTTTCAGGTTCCTTAGATGGTGAGAGGAAAAAAAAAAAGGCCCCTCAGGGTACAGGGACCATTGCTTCTTAGACCCTCACTGGAAACGCCAGAAAAGCTCAGGACTTTGTGTGCACAAAAGGGAAGAACTTACCAACTTTTAAAGAGATTTTCAAGAAAATATGGTATAAATCAATGGAGGCACTCAATGTAGTTAGATGTAGACTGACAACAGATAGATTTTTACAAACCAAAAATCTAGGTAGATGTGTTGTTTCAATAAATCGTCACTAGCTTCCTATGTATTATTTGATATGTATTTATTTATTTATTATGATATGCACTGCCCCTCTGTGATCACCACTTCCACCATTTGTGAAGAGAGGGAAATGGACTAAATGCTATCTATAGTCTTTACAGCACTGATACATTCTTTAAGCTTTATATATTTTTCCACCCAACTACACAATAACCTGACTCTTAATGTTTATTTCCTCATATTTTATGGGCTTTTTACTTTACAGTCCTTACTTTGTTTAAACCTCATGTAATCAAGATACTTCTTTCCTAGTTCTGGGGAACAACAAAGTAGTCATCTGGACAGGGGACCTCTGAGCCAGAGACACCTAACCCCCATGTAGTATGTGATACATCCCAGTATACACACACACACACACACACACACACACACACACACAGAGGAAAATCAATGGAAGGTGATTAAGTAGTAAGTTTATGCTTTAACTCCATATCCAGACATGAGGTTCTTTAGCCACCCATTTCTCTGAAATGTTCTACATTTTCTCCTATTCAAATCATGGACTTATCCAATATGATTTTCACAGACTTTGATTTTAGCTATAGAAATGTACATTGTCATTCTTCAAGTACAAATAGAGATGCATTAACGAGATAAATTTTAAAAGTAAATATGTTAAGCTAAAGGATGACCTTTCTTCTTTCTCTTTTTCTATCACAAAAATTGATAACACTTTTCCTGGGAAGGAAGATTCTAAAAAACTCCAAAGAACTTCTAAGTAGCCTTAATCTCTTACCCTGAGCCAAACCCTTCCATGCTCTGCTACCTGGAAGATTTATTTATTTATATAATCTATAAATTATAAATTTATGCTAATATTCTTAGTTTCAGCTCTCCCTGACCATCTCTGGCCCATGCTAACCATCTTTCTCTTTCTCCACCACATTGAACATGCCTCAAATTTTATATTGTATGACTTCAAGTTCATCGACTTTTTCTTATTACTTTCAAAATGAGTTTAAATTATTATCCTTGCTATTCACATTGGGGAGGGTATGTGCTATGGTGAGTGCTGTGAATTGTGCAAGACTGTTGAATCACAGACCTGTACCTCTGAAACAAATAATGCAATATATATTAAGAAAAAAAAAAAAGAAGAAGATAGCAGGAGGGGAAGAATGAAGGGGAGTAAGTCGGAGGGGGAGATGAACCATGAGAGACGATGGACTCTGAAAAACAAACTGAGGGTTCTAGAGGGGAGAGGGGTGGGGGGATGGGTTAGCCTGGTGATGGGTATTAAAGAGGGCACGTTCTGCATAGAACACTGGGTGTTATGCACAAACAATGAATCATGGAACACTACATCAAAAACACTAATGATGTAATGTATGGTGATTAACATAACAATAAAAAAATTTAAAGGAAAATAATTATTATCCTTGCCTAAAAGATTTTTTCCTTATCTTCTTTTCCTCAATTACTATTTTCATTTTCTCCTGCTAGTTCTCAACTTCTTCCACAGAAACACATTGACTAATCTGTGACTAATCACCAGGGATGGTGAACCTGGCCAGGGTTCTTGATCACTTGCTCATGCCAGGGATCTTATATTAATTCTCCACTGGATTGTGCTCCAGTGGGCTTTTTTTTCCATTTTTGTTCATTTCTGTGGCCTCAAAACCTAGAACAGTGTCTGGCATATAGCAGGTGTGCTGTATATATTTGTCGAATGAGTGAATAAATAAATGGAGAAGTTGAACTAATACCTTGAACTTTGGGTCATGAGATCCTGACCCTGTGACTCCTCCACCAAACCATAGAGAAGGCATCAGTTGGTCTTCACCTCACAAAGCTCTTAGTGGCTTTAGGAAATGGGCTGCCAGCTCATTTGTTCACTGAATCCAGTTCTTGTGCTGTGGACCCTCTTTTGCCCTGGTAAACTGGCAAAGTTTTTGTCTCTTCTGAGTGTGGTTGGAACCATGGAAACTGCTGGTGGGCAGCCAAGAGCAGCATTATTCTCAGAGTTTACCATCAGTAACTGAAACATCCCAGCTCTGACAAAGCCACAGAAGAAAATCAGAGAATTTCTCTCAGATCAAGATTTTTGGACTTCTCAATTCTTTCAAAATAGTAAGAAAGCACAAATTTTCCTTTCTCTCCTCTGGAGAGCTTACTAGGATTAGGATTACCAGATTTAACAAAGAAGAATGCAGGACACCCAGTTAAATTTGAATTTCAGATAAATAACGAATGGGGTTTTTATTATAAGTATATCCCAAATATTTCATGGTACATACTTATACAAAAAATTATTTGTTGTTTATCTGAAATTATAATTTTACTGGGTATCTTCTATTTTTTTAATCTAGCAGTTCTATCTAGGATCCCACTGTGTTAGATCCAGAGTCTATAATATGAGGGCCTAAGGTAAACTAATCAGTCAAATTACCCTTTGGGGGCAATGCAATGTAAAGACTATGTGCTTTAGAATCAAATAGACATAGTTTCAAATCCCTGCTCCACAAAATCTGTCTATGTGACCTTGGATAAATTGCATAACTTGTTTGGACCTCATTCCATCTATAAAATTAAATATACCTTCTTGTTAGAATTATGGGGAAAAGTAAAGGTCATAATGTAAATAAGTGTTTGGTGCAAAGTGCTCAAAAAAACCCAGTAACTATGTAATAGACCTTATAGGAGTCAAGGAAGCCAAGCAAACAAATAATGATTGGGACACAGGTTCATTTGCCCTCCCTACACCCTTTCTCCTGGGCCAACTGTTGAAGAGCCCTTGTCATGTACCAGAGAGGTGACTGTCATCAGCACTTGCTGGGTAATCTTCTGTATCCCTTCAACACCCTATTAATTTATGCCTGGTCTTGAAATTCTGCCTTAAGTTTCCTTGGATTCCTTTGACATCCCCAAAACCAGTCCCAAAGAACTTAAAAATCACACTTGATTTCCATCTTTCCTTGATTATACTTCCCCTTTTTTCTTGTAAATTTCTTTTGCATATTTACATATATAATTTTGAAGTTGCACCTCTAGGCTCAGATGGAGTTCCTGTTCCTGTCTAGGTGTGATGTATTATGTAAAGGGATTCTCTTCAGAAAGAGTTATATAACAGTTGCCTCGTTAATCCCTGGATACTCATGATACTCGGGGTTTGCACTATGGGTAAGAATTTTATGTTTATTGTGCATTTCATGTATAATATTTCATTTTTGAGTATGTAGGACAATCAACTAACTCGTAGAGTGTTTCTGTCATGGATGTGCCCTCCAGTTCTCCCTGTAAAACCTTTGGAAAAAGCAGAACAAATATGACCCTTTCCTGCCTTGGAAGTTAGTCTTGTCCACCACACACATCACCAGAGGCTAAACTTACTCTGCCCATGCTTTCCCAGGAATTGCAAGGGCATCCCTAGGCTAAATAATCCTCAATCTAGTGTCAGACTTGCTTTTAGCTGTAAGAAGATGTTTCACATTTTTCCTCCCCAAAGTGTCAAGTATTTCATTCCTTTGTGAGACAGAATGGCTTTCTGTTTTTAAAGCAATGTTAACCTTTCCCCTTTTGAAGCGTATGAACTGTTGTTCTGCAGAAGGAAGTGGATGCAGCAAAGTAATATGTCAAAGCATGGTTTTGTAGGGAACCAGGGTTCATGTCACCTTGGACCCAAGGCAACAGAGCTCAGCTGTAGGAAGCTACGGAGGATGACCATCCATAAATCCCAGCTAAGGAAGAGCAGTTTCAGAAGGTCTGGAGTCAGGATTTCTGATGCTGCTATTATCACCCCAGACTTCCAGGTCTCTCCTTCTCCACAAAGATGTGGAGGCAAATAGACAGTTCTCTTGTTGAAGGGCTAAGAGGGGGGTGAGGAGAAGACAGGTGCAGGGGTGGTTTCCCTGCGCTGTTGGGGTTGGGCCCATAAATGTCACCAGGATCTTGCTGAGGCAGAGAGACTCAAATAATTTGGAAAGCCAAGGAAGACCCAAACCAAAGCCAGGAAAAAACAAAAACAAAAATCCAGCTAGTATCCTTCATACTGAAACAAGCAAACACTTTGACCTCAGAGGGAGAAGGCTAAGCCACCCACACTGCACTGGGCTCATTCCAGCTGCTCTTGACTCTTTCTCCTCATCCTCACACTCTCAGGTCCCCCCTCTTGTATTTTGGTCTTTTTCAAGCACACCCTGGGAGTAAAGAACTGTTTGTTCTGTGGTCATTTAGTGCCCCAGATCCCTCCTTTCCCAGAAAACTGGAAGCCACAAAAAAGGAGTCAGTTTAGGGTTCTTTCAAAATGAGTTTAGTAATCGAGTTTTGCAGCGACCTTGTAATAATCAAATTTTACTTATTAGCTGGCTCCATGACATTATAAGGCAATTTGGATGTATTTCCTTCATGTTTTCTCCTAGTTTCATTCCCGGCCCCAGTCCAGGCCCACTGGTTCAGTGTGTTTTCTTCCATTTCTTTATTTTAGAGCCAGATCAACCCTCCACCACCCACAAAGCCTTGCAATTACAACCTACTTAAACACCAGAAGTTGAGAAATACTCACAGAGTTGAATCTTGCTCCCATAAACTGCCCAGTTGCCCTCTTCAAAGTAGATGAATAAAGGATCTTTGCATCCTGATTTATCTCCCTGTAATACCCACATGCTTTGTAATCCCACTGTTATGAGCTTAGAGTACCAACCCAGGTGCAAAGAAGTTAGAAGAATAAAGGGTGAGCCTGGGACAGGCTTAGAAGTTTTCT